ACCATTACTGATCATCCATGCATTTATACAACCTCTAAGGCCAGATACCAATTGGAACATTCTTAGTTCCAATTTACCTTTCTTGTGTACCTTCCGTCGTGACTACGACGTCCAATTCACTTTGTTAAGATACCAATTGGAATCAAGAGATACCAATTGGAATCAAGAGATACCAATCAAGAGATACCAATTGGACTCAACTCCTACCACAAGCGACAACTCGCGCGAAAGGAAAGAAGAAATTGATGACTTCCTAGAATGCTTCATAGCTTCCTGAAAATTAGATGTGGACTTCAACACACCCATCTGTAGGAGTCTATTCCACAGTTGCTCTTGTACTAGGAGACCGGTAACCTGGGCTCTGATCCCAATTTGTCACAATCCAACCCACCGGGCCGTGCATGCACCTACTCTAACACCTAAGTAGGAGAACCCTCGATTCCCAAACAGTTAAAGACATGCGGAAGATTAAGAAAACTGACGAATAAACGGAAATTCATGTAATGTTTATAAAATAAGAGGTTTAAACGACTCAAAGTTAAATTGTAAAGTAATTAACTTCCCCAAGAATCTAGTCTAAACAGGTACAAAAGCTTTAAGATTACAAGGTATAAACATGATAACAAATGACGCAGCTCCCACCACATGGAAGGAAAAATAGAAGCTGTTGGAGATTGTCTTCGTCTTCACCTATGAAACATCACTGACTCTGCAACCAGACTATGCCAAAAAGGAATAACAAGAGTAGTATCAGTACAAACCACACGTACTGGTAGGCATCATCGGTCAACCCGATACCCACCGGATAATATAAGAAATCGACTAGTAGGAAACATGCAATAATACTGTTCATTCCTCCACCTTTATATCCTCATGCCCATACCATTCCCGAATACTTTAAAATACACTAGTACACTTGATTCTAACCCCTCGCTCGCTTCGTTATTGATCATAACTTAACCATTCCATCACTTAGAGGAGTTTCCGGATGTAACCACTACCAATCGGGCCAACCACTCACGATATACCCTTACTTCTTCCACATCACCACTCAACCCTTGATCCCATAGTACATTCTATCAAGGCTCGCTAACTGTTTCAATACGAATCCCCTTCCAACGTAAGACCTAGCTACTCAACATTTACGACACGAACACCTTTCCACTTCTCATACTTTTTACGAATAAAGACAACCTCTCTAAAGTAATACATAGTAACACTTGGAACCTCAATCTCCACTTACCATACCACATCCCGATTGGGCCTAGCCATTCACAGTTCATTCAGTAACGAGATATGTAACAAGTACACGCCATATTAAACATACATATACATAATGCATAATTCAATTATCATTCAGGAGCAGCATAATAATTCCCAACATCCAGGACAGGTAGATATGAACATAGTAGTCACCAATGGTTCTCTCATGGAACCCACACCCAAACTGTTAGTGTGTTGGAACGTGACATCTGATCCAATATACATGTGTTGGAATGTGACACCCGATCTAATAGATGTGTTAGAACGTGACACCCGATCCAATAGATATGTCAGAACGTGACAACAGATCCAATATATGTGTCGAAACGTGGCACCCGCCAGTCAGCACAACCACAATCACAATCACACCCATAATGAACAATATTAATAGTCATACAATCAATTAATGGGTTCATGGCATGTAATTATCCACATACATATACTCATTTGCATTAGATTCGGGTCACATTCCTTATTTTTATGCATGCATGCATACAACAAAGCAATTACCCGTTATATATCACACAAACATGAAAGCAAACCATCACCTACACCTAGTTCACAGGAAGATGCGTCCCCCTACGGTTCACATCTCACGTAACTACTAGGAATACAGGTACAACCATCCCTTTTTCGGTGCACGAAGGCCTACGCATGAATTCTATCGTCAATTAACAATATACTACGCAGTGAACACGAATTTAAGACTACTCAATTAATAAAACCTAACCTACCTGGGCGCCAAGCAGTTACACGGGATTATAGCTCTAATCTTGGTTTCCGGACCTCGAGACGGTGGATTTGGCCGAGAATCCTCAAGTTATCGTCATCCTTGCGCTAGAAATCTCTTTCTCCTTCTTTCCCAAGCCTAGAGCAGCCTTTTGAGGGTTTCTGGGGTGATCCTCGCCTCTTTTTAGCACTTAGGAAAAATGAGAAAATAGACTTCGCGCCATTTAAGTTCTGTCCCGATCATCCTTCTCTGGAGCTCATTTTCCCGCTGGAGCGCCGCCGCCCTTGCGGCATTTGTCCCGCTCTAGCGGAATGATGGGACCAGTTCTCCCGACATTTTCCTTTCCTAAATAACAACTATTGGGGTCGTTACATAAGGAGAAAGATCTAAATCCACAAGAATTTCCAAGTCAACAATCTAGTACAATTGCATGCATCCTCACAATTCTATGACAAGGATATACATGGACCCCAACAACCTAAATTGAGACAGCTGCTCTTTCTCAAAATGAGACTTTACCTATTCTCAGCCTCAAATTATTCAATCACACCAAGGCCAACAATATTTTGAATTGCATTAAAGTAACAATAACACTACACCAACTCCTTCAAAGCATATCTGTCGTATTAATTAATGCATGACATTTGTTATTAAGTTTCTCCATGCTTATATTTTCAGTTTTTATATCATTATTATCATCTCTAGTGACTACATTGATTAGATTAATAGACAGGAAATTATTACTACATTTTAGTCCCTTAGGTTATAAATTAGATTTGGATATATTTATGGCATCATATTTGATCCTGTATTAATTGTTGACAATCGAAGGAATGTATTATATATGTACAGGTGGATATATACCCTACCAAACAATATGATTAGAGAAGCATTTTAGCCTGATTAAAGTTGCATATTGTTTATTTCACCGTGCATGCCGCATGGTTCAACCTCATCATAAAACTTCCTCTTTTGCTTTACTTCTTACAATTCACGGTCCATCCACACCATGATCTCATCTTTTTTAATCTCCCACTCGATATATTAAAATGGTGCTTTTGGTGAAATTTTTTCTGTTCTCATGATAAGCTGAAAGTTGAAATCTTTAATTAACAAATTGAGAAATCTCAACTATTCTACCACAACTCATGTTGGTAGATCATCTTCTTTGAGAAAGGTAAACAAGGAGAAAAGTCGACAATACCTTTCTCTAAACCATTCCTTGCACATCATATAAAAAAGCCTAATAAAAAGGAAAGTCCAAAAGCAAGAGGCTATTAAAAAATTAAAATCAGAATATAAATAAGAGCAACATATAATATAAAAGAATATATCCACGAGGGTTGCGGCAGAATGGATATGATGGTCTCCACTTCTATCAAAGATCATGTTCGATCCTAATTAGACCTTAAGTATGAAGCAAAAATCCTGTCAAAACACATTTTTCTCTTAAATGAACTTTATGTTATGCAAATTCAAATAATCAAGGTCTCAATACAGTGAAAAAACAAAAAAGTATGATAAAGAATATAATACTTCCTTTATCTTTAACTGCTTTGGTTACAATTTACGAGTAGTTAATTTGGAGACCAAATTTTACAGGTAAAGAATCTTACACCGTCCATGTTTCATTGTTTTAACCATCACATGAAGTGTCTTTTGTCTTTGTCCCATCTTATTTGGCCATCCAGACTTGACTACTTTTGCAACTTCAATTCTTTTATTTTATCCTGAAAATATAATATATGTAATTCTCTCAATAATATCAACGTAATTTGCAACAAGAAGTTTGTTCATATAGTAAAGCTTAAATAACTCCATCCATTCCTTTTGATGTGACAATCACAACATATATTTTTTTACAATAATTTGATCTTAGAACCATCAACCAATAATGCTGCTTTTCCCTTAATCATATGTCTTGGGTTCGAGCCTAGGTATGAAAAAATCGTTGATAGCTTCCTCTCAAATGGGGCTCTATACACGTCGTGAATTCGAAATAGTCCAACTCCAATATGAATACCAGACACGGACAAGAAAACAATCAAGATTTAGGTCTCGTTTGGATTGACTTAAAAAAGTAGTTTTTAAGTTAAAAATAAAAAGTCAAACTGAAATGATTTTTAAGTCAAAAAATAAAAAGTAGAGGAGACCTACTTTTGGTTTTTTACTTATTTTAAGTCATTTTAAACTTATTTTAAGTCATTCTTGACCTTGCCAAACACTTTTCAACTTATTTTACGTTACTTTTGACTTATTTTAAGTTATTTTTTATATTTGCCAAACACTTCCAAAAGGTAAAAACTGACTTAAAAGTAGATTTGATAAACTTTTAAGCCAATCCAAACACCCTCTTATTCATCTTCTAGTAATATGATTTCATAGAGACAAGTACTCTCTTTATCCCATTTTACGAAACAATATTTGATAAGATGTAAAACATTTTTAAATATGTCATGATATCTTTTTAATATTATAAAATTATCTTTAAAAAAGAAATTTAGTTGAATTATTTTTGTATTTGAAATTACTTCCGTTAAAAATAGACTAAAAAATTAATAGTGTCACACTAAAACATGAAAGGTGGAAAAAGATATGCCCCTTATATTTCAATTTACTTATCTCACTTTTTCTTCAATTTTATTTTTTTAAAATAACAATTCTTTATTTTTATTTTTTCATACAAATATTTATAATTATAAGATTAAACAATATCTAACATATTTTTAATCTTTAAAAATTTCCGTAATTTCTTCAACTCCGAGTTAAAGTTAAATTTAATATATTTAATTTTTTTTTTTTTAATTTCTTCAATTCCGAGTCAAAGTTAAAATTAGAGAAATAAATTGAGAATAGATAAGTTGTACTTTGCACTTTACCCAGTTCAAATTCGATCGATACTCTGTTATATATAGACATCTTTTTTTCTCTTTCTTCTGCTAAATTTAAAAGTGATTGTCTCACTTACTTCCTTAATTTCTTCTCTTATATATAATGAATGAATGAATGTAATGTGTATATTTACTGATTTTTCCAAAAAATAAAGAATATTGCCTATAAAGTTGCTATCTTTTTATGTTATTTGGTTTCATTTACTGATCAGAAATTAAAGTAGCTAGAAGTAGAAGAAGAAGCTGAAGGTTTTCAAGATTTTGATTTTATTGGGGTGACTCTGAATATAATTCAGAATTTGAAAGAAGAGTGATGCAATGAGGGATGAGTATTCAAAGAAAAGCAAGGTGAATACTTATATCACAACCCTTTTCTCTATTTGCTTTCATTTCTTTGGAAAATGCAATTTTTGGGGTTTTGTACTTTGATTTCTGACATTTTTGCCCTTTGATTGCTGAAGCTATCTTGGTCCAGAAAATTGGTTAGGAAGTGGTTCAATTTAAAGGGCAAAACTGTTGAATTTGAATCTGATGAATCTGTTTATGGAGGTCAGCATCTTATTTTGTTTTCTTTGTTCTTATTTTTTCTTAATTGGGTTTATGAATCTGTGTTTTACCTTTTTCTTTTGAGGAGTTGAAATGTTTGTTCTGAATTGGGTTTTTCTTCTGGGTAACTAAAACTAGTAGATTGTAACTTACAAAATTTAGGTGAATCTTCCTATGGTCACTCAACTGATACGCTTAGAAAATCGCTTTCTTTGTTGAAGAAAATTGGAATCAAGAGCAAAGACGGCTTTTTGAGATACCAACTATTAGTTGAGTGACATTCTGAATAGAATATTTTATCTTATTCTTGTGTTAAAACTTTGTGTGATGGATAATTATTTCTGTCTGCAGCACATGTTTCTGGTGATTAGTGAAGGTTTTGTCTCATATTGAAATTGTATTTATTCACTCTCTTTACCTCCAGTAGAAATTGATGGGTATCTCCCATAAAGATAAAGTTAAACACAATCATTCCTAATTGTGTAGTCGTTGTACTAAGCTCCTGCTATGTGCGAGGTCCGGAGAGGGACTTACCACAAGGGTATTGTATGCAGCCTTACTATGCATTTCTGCAAGAGACTGTCTCCATAGCTCGAACCCATGATTTGTGCAATAGGCTGTTTCCAATTTTTGTGATTTGTTAAAATTGTTTTGAGTTATGGTTTTTTACCAACTCTTCAATTGGGAACTAATGTTGATCTTCCCTTCTTTAGGAAGTTATGAGTGGAGAACAAGCATCTCGGAGTGGGAACATTGCGCTGTCAAGAAGACCAAAACAGGTTAGTGGCATGGTTAATTTTCCAAATCCTTATAATACCCTATGTAGTATTTAAGAGACTCTTCTTATGTGACTTGAGTTAATTCTAGTCTCTTTGCCTTCTCAAATGAGCAGAGAAATCAACCAGGGGTATGGAGCATCTCCCACGGGGGAGTGTTAGTCTTGATCGCCCTAAGATTATAAATGTACAAGATTATAGGTTTGTCTTCTTGATAAATCCGGTAGATATTTCAGGTTTTGTCTCTTTTTCCTTTATAGTTCACAACTCACTACATGAATGTTTTTCGCTTTATTTCTTATTGGCTCAGACTCTTTGTGTCTACATGGAATGTCGGCGGAGAATCGCCACTGAGCAATTTGAATCTAGATGAATGGCTTCATTCCTCACCCCCTGCAGATATTTATGTGCTTGGGTATGAGCTTTAAGAGTTGTTTCTCATCTATTCCTTGACAAAAAATTTCATATGCCACAGTTGACTGAAACATTATCTTGGGTGACATTTTACCATGGTTGACTGAAATATTGTCGTTATTACATTTCAGATTTCAGGAAATTGTTCCTTTAAATGCTGGTAATATTCTGGGAGCCGAAGACAGTGGCCCTGCCAAAAAGTGGATCGCTTTGATCGGGGAGACATTAAACAACGGTCCTGGTACTAGTGGAGGTAATGGTTGCTACACTTCTTCTCCTGTTCCAATTGCCGAGTGGAATGCTGACTTTGAGGGGTCAAATAGATACAAGGCATCGTCCTTCTCTCATCGTTGGTCAGTTCAGACACCTCAGTGCGGGAGCGTGGAAAATGATCCATCAATCTCGCAACTTCGAGTGGATGGACGATACAGTGTTTGTGATCGAGTAATTTTTGGACATAGGTCTAGTGATTTTGATCCTAATAGGGAGCAGAGGCCAAGTGACTTTTCATCTTCTCGCAGACCAAGTGACTATACCTCTATTCACAGGCCAAGTGATTATTCATCTGGTCATAGACCTAGTGACTATTCCTGCGGACAAAGACCAAGTGATGTCTCCAGATGGGGCTCATCGGATGATGAATATGGACCTGGAGATTCACCTACTGCTTCGTTTTCCCCTTTGAGGAATGGAGGGTATGCTCCTGCAGAAGATGGTTATAGAATGCCCAGAAATTCAAACTACTGTTTGGCAGCAAGTAAACAAATGGTTGGCATTTTTCTCACCGTATGGGTGCGGAGTGATTTGAGGGAACATGTTCGGAATATGAAAGTATCATGTGTCGGCAGAGGGTTGATGGGGTACCTTAGGAATAAGGTAACTCTAAGTGGAAAAGAGCTTGGTTATGTTTTGTCTAACTTGATAGATTTCCACATATTGACTTAGAAGAGAAAAACTTGGCATAATGTACAATCATTCCATGCTTGTGTTTGCAGGGATCTATTTCAATCAGTATGCAGTTACATCAAACAAGTTTTTGCTTTGTCTGCACTCACTTAACCTCTGGTCAGAAAGAGGGTGATGAGTTGCGCAGAAATTCTGATGTCATGGAGATCCTAAAGAAGACAAGATTTCCACAAGTTAGTGGTGTGGATGAAGAGAAGTCACCAGAAACTATTCTTGAGCACGAGTAAGATAGCTGTTTACTTTCTGGAATAATTTCTATTGCTGTTTCATGTAGTTAACTGAAAAATGAAAAAGATGGTAAGGCTTGAGTTTAATATAGTTGCTTACATGTAAAACCATGATTAGGTTATAAATTCGTTTCATCTGAGATTTTCCAATGCATCAATTTTCTGATGATTTTCCAATTCTCTTCAGCCGGGTTATTTGGCTTGGGGATCTGAACTATCGAATTGCACTCTCTTATCGTTCTGCAAAAGCACTTGTTGAGATGCAAAACTGGAGAGCATTGTTGGGAAATGATCAGGTCTCCTTGCAGTCTTGTGTTTTTTCGCACTTTCATACTTGAAATTTATTTCAGTTGAATAATGGCATAGGGCAATAATCAACTGATCTTGTTTTCTATTTCCTTGACAGCTGAGGTTAGAACAGAGACGTGGTCGGGTTTTTGAGGGATGGAAAGAAGGAAAGATATATTTCCCACCAACATATAAATATTCTAGGAATTCAGATAGGTATTCTGTTGATGACATGCAACCAAAGGACAAGCGTAGAACACCTGCATGGTAAGTGTTTTTCTTTGACTACCAAAAAGAACATATATTCTCAATCTAAAATTTCTATACAGTTTATCAAAATATCTAGTGGAGGATTTATATACAAGTCTAGAATTAATCTGTACAATGTCCATCTGAAGGTGTGATCGTATTTTGTGGCATGGTGGGGGTCTCCAACAGTTGTCTTATGTCCGTGGGGAGTCTAGATTTTCAGATCATAGACCCGTTTTCAGTGTGTTTTTGGCCGAGGTTGAATCAGAACGCAGTAGATTGAGGAAAATGAGACGTTCAAGCTCAAGAATTGAGGTGGAGGAGCTCTTGCCCTACTCACATGGTTATACCGAGCTCTGCTTCTTTTGAAGTAGAAGTGAGGACATAAAGCCTCAGTGTCTGGTGTGCTCCCCTTTTTTATCTAGGTACACTTTATCTTTTGGCTTCTTTATTTATGTGAATCTTGTTTCTGTATATGATCTCTATGGGATGCTTTATTTGAGAAATACAATTTTATCTCATCTTAATTAAACTAGGACATGAAGTGCCCAATGAGGAAAGAAAGCTCTCTACTTTTCTCTTTTCTTTTTCTCCCAAGATTTTTTAATTGGTCTTACTCAAATTCTGGATAAAGTTGATATCGACATCTACCATTTCCAGGCATGATATTGCGGTTTGGTCTTTGAGATTCTTAGTAAGATTGCTCTTCAATAGAATATTCTGGCATATGTTTGAACCTGCTCGTGATACTATTATTTCTCTCAAGTCTCCTAATTAGCCTTGTGCCTCAAACTCCAAAGTGCTTGTAGCCTTTAAATGTTTGTCAAAGCATATTAGTGAGTGGTACTTATCTCATCTCTCTTCCGCTCACCAGATTCAGGCAGGCGTTGATTTGGAAAAACTCAATCGCAAAGGGGGACTGGGGACCATCCATATCCCACAAATTGAAAAAGGTTATTCCTGATCTTTGTCCTTAAGATAGGCTTGAACTGTACATTATTTTCCTTGCAAGTTAACACTGCATTAGTAGCAAAATATTGATGTTCCATAGTGTCACCTTTCCTCCATTTTGTTAGGTAATTATGATGTACTTCAGCGTTATTTGGAAAGATAGGTTATCTGCTGGTTAATAACATGGACTGATCAAAGAGGATTTATCCAAACCCCCTTCTTCAGAAAATTACACTCTGTATATAGGAACAAAATTTTGTTTTGTGTATCTATATTAAATGTTGAATCCCCTTGATACAAACCAAAAGCTCAGTTCAGTGGTAAAGGGGGTTCAAGTTCTCTGACTTAGCAGGTCAATTCCTGCTAGCCATAGTTTCTAATGGCTTTTTAGCTCTTCGTGTGTTTGTTTATTTATTATTTTTGAATCCCTTTGGCAACTCACGCCACTGAAATAACTGTCAGCTTTATTACAGAACCTTGGAGCTTGGTGGCTTTGGTGAGATTATGGCCAGCCATGCAAGAGAGCACGGTGTGTCAGCACACTTGATGTCTGAGCCGTGGCTACGAGTCTTCTTTTGCTATCTGAGTTATGGAAGGATCCTTTAATCAAGTTCTTGTAGGTCCTTGAGAAGGTGAAGTTTACTACAGTCTACAAAACAAACTGTCTTTGGGACTCTTTTCCCCTTGAGCATTGGAAGTACTGCTCTGGAAGCTGAAGCTAATGCCCCGCCACATACTAATTAGGTGCTTCTTGTTTGGTCAATTTTTAACAAGATGAACTCGAGCTACGGTTAAATAGGACTACCAAGTGAGAAAATGATAGTTCTATTTCAAGATTCTTTTATTATGTTTTAGACAGAGGATTCAATGGCATAAAGAGAATGAGACATGGTGGAAAGTTATCATGTTTGATCATCTGGTGTGCACAAACTTAAGAGGAACACACACACACACACATATATATATTCAAAGGAATTGTGATCTCCTCTAATCTTTATCAATTTGCATTTCCTATCCTTACATTATAATTCTTGCATTACTAATTTCACATTGTATAATGCTTACATTATTATAATAATTATATTGAGAAGTTTTGAAATAATTAATATTATTTTATTGATAATTTTCACAACTATTTAGAATTCAAGTCATTCTTCTCATTGAAATAAAAGTTCCATATTTTCTTTGATAAACTTACGTGAAATGTTCTTAAAATTTTCTTTCCATAATTCTATGTTTATCAATTGAAAATTTGGAGAGCTCAAATATAATGAAAATTGGTCATTTTTCAATAAATTTGAGTTTCGAAGTTAAGGAAAAATCTAACGGATGAGTGAAGATAAGTTGCCTATAACACATGCAAGAGTAAAACATATTTGATCTCTTTTTCAATTACAATATAATTACAAAAAAAATTAAGATTATTGAAAAAACTAAGAAAACAAAGAACAGACTAAAATTGAAATTTAAAAAATAGACTTTATGTTGGTTTGATTTGATTTATAAATTTAATAAACTGACATAGTAATTGATTTAGTTGTTTTTTAATAACAAATCAAATCAATTCAACTTATGTAATCCCCTGTTAACGGGTAAAGAAGTCGATAAGAAGCTTACCAAAAGCATGAAAAGCAAAAGGCATTGTATTGGAAGATGGAGGTTTCGACAGACTGATCACATATGATGAACTTTGAGGAAATCTTATGGCCTTTGAGTAAAATCAATAGATACACCAAAAAGAACGACTCATATGTCTACTTGCTTAATTTTATACGTGACATTCTGCATGATAATTTTAATCCTATTTGGTGTCCTATGTGTATTATGCTACGTATGACTCATGTATCTCCTTTTTCAACTTTATATAAGCTAAAGTGTCTATTTATGCATACATAAAATTGAAGGGCGTAAATATGAAATGAGACCAAGTTAAGAGACACATTCATGTATTATGCCCTACTAATAATTACTGATACTTGAAATAGATAATCAATTAGTTCATCGAGTTTTCGAAGAAAATATTTTAAATAATCTTATTTTAGTTCTTTTGTTTATGATGGTAAGACAATAATGAACGATTTTCAATTAATCAGTTTCTCTAATTTAGATAATTATCGAATCAAGTTGGGCAACTTTTTTTTTTTAGTATAGTAGACAACTAAAAAAGAACGAGAATATTTTTCAAATATTTTGACTAACAAAATATAGCAAACTAAAAAAAATATTTTATAATTTGAATAATAATTGAAAGAAAAATTGATTAAAACAAAAAGAGAGAGACAGAGAGAGTGTAGTATCAATCCGTCACGGAATTTCTGTTCAGTCCACTACTTATTAACTTTGTCTTGTGGAATATGGATTATCAAATTCCCTCAGGCCCCTTTTGTCTCCTTTGTAATCTCTAAATTATTGCAATAATTTGTGTTAGCAACTGGAGAATTTCATCTACATTTGTCTTTTGGTGACAACCGACAATTTCTCATAAACCCTTCTTCTTTATTCTCTCCTTTTAAGATCAAAATCGAGGTGGGTTTTCTTCTTTATCTGCTTAATTTGATCTGCATTTTCAGTTTTCTGAACCAATTAACTGATTTGTGATTTCGTTTTTTATGTGTATGGATATCCGGGTTTGATTTTAATCGCAACTTTCCCTTTTCTACTTTTGAAATTTGTGATTTTTTTTTAAACTCATGTGTTGGTCATGTCGATTTTCACGCATTGGCCACGTCTGACTCAGTCTGTTGTCTTTATAAAAGCTTTTGTAAAATTTGGCCTAATTTTGATGCAATTTTCGTCCCCTTTGAGTGAAGTATCCAGAAACCCTGATGTAGACTTGATTTTTAATATTTTTATTTGTGATTGAATCATTTTCTCTTCACCTAAAGTACTTGCCTTTTGTCAATGTGGAGTTGAGTAAATTAATAGATGAAGAGCAATTAGCCCTTGTGTTACTATAACCTGTTTATGATTATTAACTTGGAACCTTGTGATAGTTCAGAAAAGTTGATTAGGCTCGTTCATCTGTACTTTCACGGTATCGGAAAAACTGGATGGGTAGGTAATTATTCACCTGAAGTTTCAAATAGGAGAGCTTACATTGACAACCCATGTATATTTTAATGCTGCCCATAGTCATTTGTGCTATGTCATTATGCTAACTGATGATTCTTTCATAACAATGTCACATACATGATTTAGTTTCGAAATATGTTGCATACATGAATAATCCACAAATACAACATTGGTATGCTTACTTTAAGATTATTTTACTTGAGAAGTAAGGTTGTCTGTACCTATTTACGGACCGACTGACCTGAATATTAAAGTGTAAAAGTTGGATGCAAATACTGGCTGTGTATCAATATAATGCCTTGTACGGTTCCGTTGCTACTGCGGGCTTTACGCAATTGATTGGATTAGATAGATATCCCTTCAACATAGGTCATCGAAAGGATCTCGGAGACCCACCAAAGTACGAAAGCCAGGATCTTTTAGAAAACAGATCCCTATTCAAAGAGTGCATAACCGCATGTATAAGCTCACACTAACCGTTAGCATTTTCAAATGAAAATGGCATTTCATCTTAGCACTCTTTTTCATGAAAGATTTTGAATTGAGTCTTGGATTTTCATCTGTTACCCAATCTAAAGTGCTTGGTGATTTGCTGATTGTTAGTCTATTTCATCATTTTCATTTTAAATTTTCTTTCTTAGATTTATTTGGATGATCAGATTGTTTGTGTAAAAATGATTCGGTTTAAGTGTTAAGTAGGGTTACTTTGTTGTGGCAATTCATTCAGGTTTACTTTCTCCATGAATCTTAAAAATTGTCAGTCGTACAATAACTTTGGTTGAAAACTGCAGGTTCTTCTTGAAATTCATCTTAATTACTCATGGGCACAATTTCTTATAAGTCGGATGATGAATACTCAACTATTACTGATAAAGGAGACATCGGATTTGTCGACTTTGACAAATATAAATCAGCTGGTAGCTACAATCCAAATGAAGAGAGTGATATAGTTGTTATATCTGTTCCATTTCCGCTGGTAGCAGGAAAACCTAAATCAGGATTTGTTGGGGAAACTGTTGTCGATTCAGTCACAATAGAGAATACCACTAATGAAACCCAGGAGCTGTGGTCAATTAAGATCTATGACTCAAAACCTGAGGATTCATTCACTCTTTCTCTGATGAAACCTCCAACTGCTTGTTCTGATGTGCAATATGTTGAAGAATTCATGGAATCCTTTAGCTTAGAGGATAGAATGTTACGACCAGGTCAAACACTTACAATATGGCTGACTTGTAAACCCAAAGAAATTGGATTGCACACATCAGCTGTGCATTTCAATGTGGGTGATGACACCATAGAAAGATTAGTTTTTGTCTTGGCTGAGGATAAGGTTTCCCAGTCTCTGGCTTCGAGGAGGCCATTCCACAGAGACAGAAAGAAGAAAGTACCAGCAGTAGATGTTTATGCTGCAAATGCATTTGTTGTGGGTTCTCGTCCTACAAGGGCTCCAAATCGAGGATTCAGATACAGACTTCCTTCATATCCAATTCCAGGGGATATAAGGGAAATGATAGAGAAGAAACAATTTCCTGATGTTATTGGGGAAGGTTTAAGAAGAGACAATTACATTGCTTATTTTAGAACTTTACTAGCAATTGAAGAAATCAAGATGGAGGTGTGTGTTCAGATTTTGATTTGAAGTAATACTTGATTTTGGGTAGCACTAATATCTTATAGTTTCTTGCATCAGGAAGACATGAGGGACTATGATATGCAGTCAGTCACCATGAAGCGCAAAGGACTACAGTTTTTGTCCCTTGATGTCCCAGGGCTAGCCGAGAGGAGGCCATCACTTGTTTATGGAGATTTTATCTTTGCAAGGATAGCTTCTGCAGATGCTAGTGAGACCACCCCTTACCAGGTGCATTCATATTTGTGCTTTGTTTTATATCATAAGCTGCTACTTGATAATTTAAGCTCTCTTTACTGCATAATTTGGTAAAAATTATTACAATCCATTTTACATGTAGATTTTCAAAGTTGCAAAGAGTCATTTGATGTATTTGTACATGGCCATATACATAGATAGCCCCTGAAACTCGGCTTGAAATTTTGTTTTAGCACCTCAACTTAGCCAAGACCATTTGAACACCCATATATGTGTAAACTGTGTTTTTAGACCCTTGAATGGTAACCCCTAAGTAAACCATGACGCGGGAACTTACATGCGGTTATCTGTCAAATATGACAAATAAGAAAATTCCGCGTAGCTTCTCATCAAACTAATGCAAGAAAAAGGAAAAAGGAGCTTTTGAGCTGAAAAAGGAAACAAGAAGATGCAATAATTTTTAAGAAACTCCCCCCAGAAGGTCAAAACTTCCGCTTCTCTCAGTATCATCTTTTCCACCAGCTCAGATTCTTACCATTCCGACGTTAAAATTCTTCAGTCCTTTTCCTCTACCATCTATATTGATCAGCAACACCACTACTTCAAAGCTCCATTTCACCTCCCAGATTGTCTCTATAAATTGTTGAGAAAAATTGTAAACATGGGTCTAGAAATTTCATATAGATCACAATATCATCTAGAAAAATGCAAAAAAGTTTGGTATCGTGATTGCATCGAGAATTTCATTGTGATAAATTTTTATTTATGTAGTAGAATCTGTTAAGATCGATTCAAAGAATTTGAAGCATATTTGTGCAAGCATAGCCACCTGCACTAGTATCTATCACCAAAAATTGCAAATTAATCCTTTTAGGCCATTTTCTCTATGTCTTATAATGGTCAAGCTCCAACTGTGTATTAGCTACGTGAGTTTCAAAGAAATATTTTAAAAGGATTGAAGACTTCCTCTTTCTTTGAGCTCAATGATCTCACAGTCTTGTTCAAAATTTTCTCTGTTTCGGCAACTGGACTTTGTCTTTCTTTTTCTTATGTTAAAAAAGACGGAAGAAACAGTTGATCTGTCAAGAAGAGGTCGGAGAAAAGAAAGAAAAAAGGTCGAATCACAGGAAAGAAATGTAAAAGGTGATATTAAGGAGTGGGCCTCACTTATTTCTGTTAAAGTCATTCTACGCACCTGATAAAAGTGAGAAATATATATAGATGATAGATCCATGTCAGCATAACGTGGTTCATGATACAATTCAAGGGTACATGAGGTGTGAAAATGGTGCTTGACTAAGTTAAGGTGCCAAAAGGAATTTTAAGCCAAGTGGGAGGGGCTATGTATGTATTGCCTTTATACATCCAAATCTCTGCTTGATAGGGTCCTTGTGTTGTCTTCCTATTACCTTTAAAATCACATCTCTTGAAATATTCATATTGATCTTTACAACTATGGATGTCGTGGTAGAACATCAACATTGCTTTTTGTTTTCTTCCTTGAGTCTTTTTTTTACTTTGTTTCTGTTATTAATTTCATTTTCATCTATTTTACTAGAAAGGTTGACAACTTTTGTGATGCCTGGCTGTTATGTCTAGCTGTTTTTTGCTTAGTTGCATGTTAGTACAATCAACCGAAGGCCCGAGGTTCAAATACTTGGGAATGAGGAAATTCAATGGATTCCAATATTTAGTCTTTAGGGAAATTGAGCTGCGCAATGACACATGCATAGCACCTCCTTTATATGATACATGTTAAAAGTTCCACTTTTTGTCTAAGTTATGCATATGAAGAATTTTAAGGAAAAATGATTATATATCAGCAAGATTTTACACATGAACTTGATAGATCAAAAGGAGAATAAATGTATCAACATAAACTTGGTGATTTTGGTGGTTCTTGCACAGGGTTACATCCACCGAGTTGAGGCGGAAGAAGTATATTTGAAGTTTGATGAAGAATTCCACATCAACCATGTTCCTGGAAATCTGTACAATGTGCAGTTTTCATTCAATCGTACGGGTGTGAGGAGGTTACATCAAGCCATTGAAGCTACAGAAAGCTTAAATGGAGAAATTCTCTTTCCATCAGGCATATCCAGAAAGAGAAATATACAAGCTGCTAGACTGGCACCTAATTCATGTATGCTTAACAAGGAACAAACAAGTGCAGTTGAAAAGATTCTTGGGTGCAAAGGAGGGGCTCCATATGTTATCCATGGACCTCCTGGTACAGGCAAAACAAGGACTCTTATAGAAGCTATCATCCAGCTACATATTATGAGGAAAGATACTCAAGTTCTTGTCTGTGCACCTTCAAATAGTGCTGCAGACCATATACTTGAAAAACTTGTCAGTCAGCAGAATGTTGAAGTGCAGGAGCATGAGATTTTTAGGTTGAATGCACTCACACGTCCTTTAGATGATGTGAATCCTAGTTACCTTCGTTTTTGCAATGCTGAAGATAATTCTTTTAAGTGCCCTCTTCTCAGGGACCTTAGAAGATATAGGGTTATCATATCTACATATGCTAGTGCATGTCTTCTTTATTCAGAAGGCATCAAACGGGGACACTTCTCTCATATTTTCTTGGATGAGGCAGGACAGGCATCAGAGCCTGATACCATGGTTCCTCTGTCACATCTTTTAAAGAAAGAGACAGTAGTTGTACTTGCTGGTGACCCACAGCAACTTGGTCCCATAGTTTTCTCAAAAGATGCTGAAAATTATGGATTGGCAACTTCATTTATGGAAAGGTTATTTGAATGCCAGTTATATGGTGCGCTCAACGAAAATTATGCTACCAGACTAGTAAGGAACTATCGGTGTCATCCGGTAATTCTGCAGCTTCCCTCAGAAATGTTTTATGAAGGAGAGTTGATCCCATGTAAAGAAGATAAAACTTTTACCCAGACTTGGGTGGACATGCTTCCAAACAAGGAATTTCCGTTGCTTTTCATTGGCATACAAGGTTGTGATGAAAGGGAAGGAAACAACCCATCATGGTTCAACAGGATCGAAGCAAGCAAGGTAGTTGAGATCATCAGAGATCTGATAGGGAACAAAGGTCTGAAAGAGGAAGACATTGGGGTGATAACACCTTATAGGCAGCAAGTACTGAAAATAAGAACAGCCCTTGAGAGCTTTGATTGGGCTAATATAAAGGTTGGCAGCGTAGAGCAATTTCAAGGTCAGGAGAGAGAAGTTATTATCATATCGACCGTCCGGTCAACGATACAGCATAATGACTTTGACAGAGTCCATTATTTAGGATTCTTAAGCAATCCGAGAAGGTTCAATGTTGCTGCTACAAGAGCCAGATCATTGCTTGTAGTTATCGGGAATCCACACATCATCTGCAAGGTGATTCTGTATTTATTTCTGCTACTGCGATTTGTAGCACCAATGTAGATTTGATATGCCATTGTGTTGTTTTTTCCTTTTTTTGATATGCCATAGTAAAGGTGGAGTTTCTGTCTATCTATTTTCTGAAAACTTTCCTTATCCTGGTGGTACCTTTTGTTGGCATTTTTGGAGGTGATACCTAGTGAGTCATTGATAAAAGTTGAATTAGAAAAGGTGACTTTCCTCTTGAATTTGTTATGGGCTTATGATGAGCTAAAAATTATGAATCTTGAGACATATTTTGCCAATTGTTCTATCTATTAGTGAGAAATACCAATTCTTATTAACGTATACGATATGGCAGGATCCCTACTGGAACAAGCTTTTGTGGTATTGTGCAGACAATGGCTCCTACAAGGGCTGCTTCTTACCTGAAAAACTGGAGATCGATCAAGACAACTCGGAACAAGCAAATAATTGGAATGATGTCGGGGCACAAGTAAATAACTGGGACTGTCAAGGAGCACAAGCTAATGATTGGGACCAAGACCAGGCGGGACAAGTTAACGATTGGGACCAAGACCAGGGGGGACAAGTTAATGATTGGGACCAAGACCAAGGGGGACAAGTCAACAATTGGGACCAAGATGAAGGGGAACTAGCTAAGAATTGGAATGAGGAAGGCACTTGCGTCAATGAAGAGAAACATAGTCTTCAGCCATCTCCTGATGTTCAAGGTACAATGCCCCAAACAGATTACATCCCGGACCCTGTTATGGATGAAGCTGAATGGTCTGATGGTTGGAAATAACTACTTACTCTATTATGCTAGTGGGTGAATCTTTTGGAGGTTACATTGAACCTCAAAACTCAGAGAACCTTTTCAGATTCTGCACTAGAATGTGCGGTTATTGCATTTTGAAAAATTTCATTCGCAGGAATGCCTGCATTTTAGCTACATGTATAGATGCTATCTATCTATCTATCTATCTATCTCTCTCTATATATAAAATGATGTGCAAAATTCAAGCTCAAAATTTACATAAAAGCTGACACCTTGAAACCTCAAATTCGTTATATTCAACACTTATAAAATTTGTTTACATTGAGTTGCCAGCTCAGTTGAACTGCAAAGCCATTACCCCACAGGCTGCTAGAAGAACCAAAACTGAAAATCTCTGGGAACTCTGTGCTGCTGATGGTATCAAATTAGGCTTAAATCCTAAATTTGTATCAGGGTCTCCAAAGATGTCTATTGGAGGTGGTGTTAAATTTGGTCTTTTATTAGCCACTGGTCTTAGAGGAGGTGTGTATGGTTGAGGAACATTTTTAGCAGCTGCAAAATGTGAAACAAACAATACCAACTCATAAGTCATATATATGTTAAACTTCAAGGAAAATTCACCAGAAAGCAGAGTTTTAGTTACCTTTAGGACTAGGAGATGGAAGTGACCTAGTTGGTCTTAAGCTAGCTGGACCTGTAACCAAATGAAGATTTAATCATCTTATTCCCTTGTTTAAACAAAAATAAAGAAATGATGGTGACAAAATTTAATAAATTGAGCAACTTTGGTACCTGGAGCTGGAACAGGGGAAGGTGATGCTGCATGCAATGTAATCAACAAGTCAGAAATTAGTGACCTAATATCAATTGGAACGAGTTTAATTTCACGTATGGTCACTGAAGTTAACTCACTCATTTAATTACCTTTGCACTGAACGGGGACACCATCCATTTTACAAGCTTTAGGGAGGGAAATAGCTAAAGTCCTGTTAATGGGAACGCGAAAAGGAACGTTTCCAGTAACAATAAGGCAGAGGCAATCTGTGCCATTGCTCATGACATACTTGAGAGATTGGCAACAATCTGAAGTTGGTGAAGAATTATTGCTCCCACCATTGCTAATGAAGTTTATGCAAGGGCTAAAGCTACGTAGCATTGCCGCGCTACACGCTGTACTAATCTGCCCGTAAACTAATTGCGTGCTGAAAACCATTAAAACAACAATTAAAATTGACGATAGTTTTATCCCTACCATTTTTGTAATGAATTTTAAAGTTTTGGAGAATAAGTAATTAAAAGGGAATGTGCAAGTATAGAAACTTGATGTTGGATATAGAAGATATTACTAATTAGAAGTAATTTATAGATCAAAAGGGGAAAATAACAAGGAGAAACATGTAGGTTCAAAGTGGTTTTGGAGCTCAACTACCTTAACTAACTTCAAATGATTAAGAATGTTTAAGTCACCTTAAAAATAATTAATTGCATTTGGATTTTCGAAGTTCTTAATTAAATTGATATCCAAGAGATTCAAGCTAGTTGCCCGAAAAGTGTGATGTGATTGCTCCTTGAAATTAAAGTCACATTTAATCTTGATACCTCGTAGAATTTTGGTGATTTAGTATTGGTCAAACTTACATATGCCCGTTCTTTATATATCAAATTAATTAATGTATACATGATACGCATTTTTAAAAATAAAAAATAAAATTTAGTTTGTAAAATATTTCAATTTATTTGAGCATATAAAAAATTGTGTAGGATAATATATGAAATAGTAGAATATTGTTAAAAAGAAATCCTTGGACGTCTCAAAATTTAATAAGGTGTTATGTGTATTGTGACACTAACGTAACATAGTGTATATAAATGTTCGCCATAAATAACTAATAATTTTAGTGTACTTTGACATTCCTTTCATATTGAATTGTCGAAGAATTCGTCTAGTTACCCTCCCTTGTTATCTCGTGAAATACCTTTGGATACTCCTAATAACTTTGAATCAGTTATTAGTATGTCTTATCATATTTTGACATCTAATTAATTGAAATGATATGTGATTAACTAATAAATTGGTATTTTATCAATTTATTCGACTCTTATTCATAAATTATTGCGATAGTTTAATTCTAATAGAAGAGATTTAAGGCGCTTGTTCTTTTATGGACAAACATTCCTTTGAACAAGAAGAAACAAGAATTTGAGATAAATATCACTAAACACACTGACAAGGAACCGACATAAGACGGAACAAGTTGGGATGGGCACTGGGTTGAGTAGAACTGGACATGTGTCTGACAGAGGTGCAATTGCAGGCACAAATACAGACGGTCAGGATTTGGATATAGTGTTAGACAAATGTTATCCATGTATTGATTGGTTGTGACTTAGTGAGAAAATTGTGTAGAATAACAAGCATTTAAACGATATTAAATGTTATAGCTACTGTTTTGTAAAGTTGTGATTTGTAGCTATAGTTTCCTTAAATTTTGCTATTTGTTTAATTTGTATACTTTGCTTGATTGTATAAATATAGAATTTGTATATGCTTACCCAATCTATTTTGTATACGATTTATGAAGAATTCACAATAAATTATCTTGTTTATAAATTGGCAAGCAAAATATATAAACAGAGTTCTAACAAAGTCCTAAATGTATAAATACATAATTTGTATATAGTTACCCTCTTTGTATATTTGCAAGCGAAATATACAAACCGCAGTCTCTATAGCAAGCAAAACTATAAATATGAAGTGCAATGATCAAAACTATAACTATAGAGCCTTAATATGTCTATTATGTTTGCTATTTCTAAATTTTTCTCACTAATTATCGTCTATTAAGTTGAAGCTCCATCGAAATTGCAGATACCCTAGTTGTTTTCCAACTTGATAAATCTCTTATTGTGTTGCTTATAAAGTGATCTTGATTTTCACAGTCTTGAAGCAAATTCCTTGTTACCAATTCCCCTATGTCATGACCTGAATAAATGAGCTAAGTGAAGAATAAAGAAATGACGAATAGAATTAGAACACCTGAATGTACGAGATTTAATTGGAGTTAATGAAGCTAAGGGTTGTGATTGCACGTGAGCATCCTATAACTAAGTTCCTGGAAGAGCAAAAGGGGCATTGATCAAATTGGTATTATTCTCGTGCTCCTCTCTCTCTCTCTTCTAACAGACTCTCTTCTCTTCTCTTCTTTTCAATCTCCTTCTAAATTCTTTTCTCATCTAAATCTGCAGGTCCTTATGGCTATGACGAGTTCTTCAGTTAGTTTCCGTTAAATATAGTTTAAATTTTCATGTAGTAGATATCCTTGTCTCTAATTTTCCAATTTTAAATCAGAAAATCCCAAAAATTATTGTGTTCGATTATTTTCTTTTCCATTTGAATTTTCATATCTCAATCAAGATCATAACACCCTATTTAAATACATATTTAATACAAGTTAGATTTGAATTGACGAACGAACAACGTAATCCTTATTGACAATCCTTATGAATTCGATCTCAACTCATAAAAATTGGGTATTATTTTTGCATATACGACCACCTATTCTTTAATTGCAAAGTATGAAAGTTATTATTAACAAATTTATTAGGTTACTTTAAAGGGAAAATCGTATATAATAGCAAACTATTAATTCAAATTAAATGTCATAACCACAATTTAATTTAATTGTAACTCGTAGCAAACTGTTGTCATTTGCCTCTCTCCTAGGTTTCTCGCTCGCCAGTCTCTCCCTCACCTCTCTCGCTTTTATACAAACACAAATGTATAAAATGCGTTTGTGTTTATATAAAGCGAGAGAAAATTGTATACATACATATTTTCGTTCCACTCTCTCCCCTCTCCCAGATCTTGCTCGCCACTCTCCCAGATGTTACTTGCCACTCTCACTCACCTCTCTCACTTTATACAAACACAAATGTATACATTGCGTTTGTGTTTGTATAAAGCGAGAGAAAATTGTATATACAATTACAAATACATATATTTTCGTCCTATACACTTATGATTATACATATACAGATCTTCCCTGCCTAGTTTTCTTTTGTCTTTCTCTCTTTCTCGCTTTATACAAACACAAATTATACAATTGATTCTTTTGTATATGTATACCGAAACAGATTATACAATTGGTTCTTTTGTATATGTACTATAGCGAAATATACATATTAATAGCAATAGCAAACATAAAGTTTGCTATGGAGCGCAATTATGCAAACTATAGCTATAACATACAAATATGATTTTTATGTTTACTATATGTGAAAGTTGCTTTACTTTAAAATGCGACATTAGATATTTATTTGAGATTTAAACAACTGTTATGTTGTTTAAGTGGCGACCACGTTTAAACCTAGATCACACTTAAAAATGCGACATTAAAATCTCTGGATATTTGAATACATGGCTCTTGAATGTGATTGTTGTTGTACTGGATTTATTCTTCCTTCTTATACAGAGCACTTTTAGATGTAATTGTATGAGTTTTTACAAATTGATACTGGATTTTTGGAAGTTAGCAAAAAAAAACTTGTGTGTTCCTAAGTAATTAATAAAGTTACAAAATAATAAACTTTGTTATCCTTAGTGTTCTTATTAACTTGAAATCAAAAACATACTCCCTCTATCATGTTCATACGATGGCAGTTTTCCAGATATCACATTACAGATGTTAAACTTGTGTGTTGATAAGATAAATTTGACTTATACATTATTAGTCACAGTGATCAAACTTTGTAATTTGAGTAATTTAGTATGAAAACTATGGAAGTTAAAAAGAAAATAGAAGAATATATCAACATTTTGAGGATGTTTGGCAATTGACTCCAAAATCATTGTTGATACATGTCCATTACTAGTTACTTCGTCAATATCTCCCCATTGCTCTCCGCAAAGGTACATGGACATGTAAATTCACATATTCCATTGCTAATTTTGTTTCCTATGACTGTTTATCCTTAACGTCTAGATCCTTGATTGTTTCTCTAGATTCTATCTTTGTACCTAAAACAGTGAGCGAGGCTTTGAATCATCCTGGATGGTCTGATGTGTTGCTTGAAGAAATCATGCCTTAGAGGAAATCGCACATGGGATTTGGTGGATTTACCCAACGGAAAGAAACCAATGGGATGTAAGTGGGTGTTCACGGTTAAAGTTAATCTAGATGGTTCTGTGGCAAGAGGCTTGTGACTAAAGGGTATTCTCAGACATTTGGAGTAGATTATTCAAACACCTTTTCTCCAGTTGCCAAACTCACTTCTGTTTGCTTATTCATTTTTCTAGCTGCTTCCAAGAATTGGTCTTTAAATCAGTTGGATATCAAGAATCTTTTCCTTCATGGTGATCTTCAAGAGGAAGTATATATGACTGCAAGTCTATCATTTGAAGAAGTCCTTATATGGCTTGAAGCAGAATAATCGTGTTTGGTTTTGCAAGTTCAGTGATGCAGTTCAAGAGTTTGGGTTGAAAATGAGCAAATGTGATCACTCAGTTTTCTATCAGCAATCAACAACATGCACTATCCTTCTTGTTGTATATATTGATGACATTGTCATCAGAGGAAGTGATTATACGAGAATCTCTTCCCTTAAGTCTTTCCTTCATACTAGGTTTCATACGAAAGACTTAGGGCCGTTAAAATACTTTTTGGGTATAGAAGTAAATAGAAGCAAGAAGAAAATTTTCTATAACAGAGAAAGTAAATTCTTGACCTACTTGCAGACACCAAAAAGTTGACAGCCTAACCCTCCAGTACTCCAATGGTTTCCAACATGCATTTTACGAAAGATGATGGTGATCCTTTTGATACTCTAGAGAAATATAGAAGGTTAGTTGGGGAATTAAACAACCTTGCTGTGACTCATCCGGATATTGCTTTTGCGGTAAGTGTTGTTAGCCAGTTCATGTCCACACCTATGATCAAACATTGGGAAGCCTTGACATAGATTCTGTGTTACTTGAAAGGTGCCCCTGGACTTGGCATATTGTAGAGCAATCACAATCATACTCATGGTGAGTGTTTTGCAGATGCGGATTATGTTTGATCCAAAATAGATAAGAGATCGACTAGAGGCTATTGTATCTCTGTTCGAGGGAACCTAGTTTCATGGAGGAGTAAGAAGCAAAGTATTGTATCTCGGTCAAGTGCAAAATCTGAGTATAAAGCTATGTCATAGTCTACGTGTGAGATTATGTGGATACATTGTCTTTTAACGAAAATTGGCCTAAAGCATCATACACTG